TCATGTTTTGATTCATTAAATATTGTTGATCTGATTGTTGTAAATATCCATGTGAATTGTATAATGGTGGTGGTTGTTGCTGCTGCTTGGACAAAATGAAAACGAATTTATTTATTAGTGTGTCATCCTTGATGGTTTAGTTTGACAGCATATAAGTCTATTTGGCTCAAGAATTAATGTATTTTCATTAAATAAACAGAAAACAAAAAAACTAATTAAAAAGAATAGAATTTTTAACGTACCATTGTAGAAACATCAGGTTCATGAAAAGAATTCAGCATGTTTGGATTTAATAAACCTTGGTGATCAGATTGTTGCAAATATCCAGCTGAATTGCATAGTAATTGTTGTTGTTGCTGCTTAGAAAAATGAAAACAAATTTAATTGTTAATATATTATCATTGAATCATTGATGGTTTAATGATAGCAGATTGTGTTATATCTGGCTCTGAATATGTATAGAAAAAAAAAAAGAACTAATTAAAAATAATTGGTTACTGAAAAAATATGAAATCTATACTTACCAATGTAGAAACACTTGGCTCAGAAGACATCATGTTTGGATTTAATAAACCTTGTTGATCAGATTGTTCTAAGGATCCATGTAAAATGGGTTGTTGTTGCTGCTGCTGTTTAAGTGAAATAAAAGGAATCTAGTTATTAAGATATTATCATTGATGGTTTGGTGATAGTAGATACTATACTCTATCTGGCTCATGAATGTATATGTTAAAAAAAGAAAAAACTGATAATCGAAATAAAAAATGAAATCTATAACTTACTGTTGTAGAAACGTCTGGCTCTTGATAAGAATTCAGCATGTTTGGATTTAAGAAATCTTGTTGATCAGATAGTTGTTGCTTAGATAAAACGAAAACAAAAGTTATATGTGATGCCCAATAGTAAAATAATATGTTTATGAAAATTGTAAGTAAGATACCATGTCAGGTGGATTTTGAGGCATTGTTGATGACTGTGGACATGGGACTACACTCGGTTGTGTAGTCGTAGAGGGAATAGCCTCGCTTATTGCAGGAGTAGAGAATATTCCATCAAAGTTCTCAATTTCTGCCGTCATAGGGTCTTGTAGAAGCTCCTTTAGGGTTGCACAAATCAACAATTTAGATTTATCATCAATATGTATATATCACAATGTAAGTTTTTATATGAAAATGAGAAACAAATAATTAAAAGAATTACCATTATTGAAGGAAATGGTTCTGGTGATGGGGGGAACCACGAAGGAGTAAATGGCAATCTTTGTTCATCGAGCGTATTATCAACGAGATCCATATTGACTTGTTTACCTGGAAGATCGAAGATATATCATATATATATGTGAGATAATGAGAAATTGATAAACAAACATGTACGGACTTTTGATTAACTAGCTAATTACACATATAAATTTTGTATTCTGACATCATGCTACTTATACATCTTCAAACATCATATGGAGTATGAATTGAGGGGAACAAATCGAAGTGAAAGTTACTCTATACTTTTGATTTAACCGAAAAAAAAAACTCTTACCTTTTCAAATGAAATCATGACAAATTAACTTGTCTGCGTCTAGTTCGTATTGTGGTTAAAAATATTAGATATAAAAAAAATTATTGTTTTAAAAAAAAATAATAATAATAATTTGTTTGTTTCCTGAAAAATTAATATAAAATAAATTTCACATATAACAAGCAGAACCATCCTCTATATGAAGCTGGTTAAATTCACTTTTCTTTTCCTTAGAAAAGGCCCTTTTTCTCTTTAAAAAACTTTTTTTTTCCTTGAAAAAATCTTTTTTTCTTCTTGAAAAAATCTTTTTTTCTACTTGAAAAAATCCATTTTTTTCCCTTTTAAAAAGCTTTCTTCTTAAGAAAAATAAAAATGAATTCTTGTTTCTGAAACTAAATATTTTTTGGACAAAAAATTATTAAAAAAAACTGCTTGAAGCATCTAAAGTATCAGTATACAAGAAAATAGCCTCTAACTTTTAGTGCATCCATTAAAATTTACAATACTGATAAAAAAATGTCACCTTGATGTATGAATAACGAAATATCAATCAAATAATATACAACAAAGATTATTGATAAGATGAAAACTAAGAATTTTTATACAAAGAGAACAAACGAAATCAAAATCAAAATCAAAATCAAAATCAAAATCAAAGAAGAAGAAGAAGAAGAACAATTTTGTGTGAGTAAATTGAAGGCAGTGAATAAATAAATTCAAAAACTTTAAGAAATATACAGGACTATATACATATTACACGGAAATCAAATAAACAAATGGTGGTTATATGATGAAATCAATATGGTACTGTTTATCTAGAAAGAACCCAATTATGTGTCTCTTTTTTTAGTTTTTACAATACAATATATAATGTATGATCGAATTTTAGTATAGCTAGAACTGCAAAGAAAACGAAAGATCTAATTGTTAAAATCAAATAGCTAATATAAACGAACAGAAAGAAGAGACACTTACTGGAGTATAAGCAAAAAAGTGAGAGATATGGAAATTAGGAGAGGTAAGGTGATATTGAGAAGTCTACCATATAGGCATATATATACCCAATGTCAGATGAAGAAGGTCTTCGATACCTTATCCTTATTACGCCACGTGTTTAAAAGTTTTGTATCTTTTTTGTTTTGACAACTTTTTTATCTTTTCTTTTTAAATCAAAATATTTGTTTTCTACTCCTCTAATTTACCCTCAGTTTTAGTAATATACTTGATATTAGTAATATGTTTAATATATCCTACTAGTTGTAATAAATTGTCAAAATTATAAACATAAAAAACTAGTTCACTATAACGTCTTATAGAAAATACATTATATTTATTATTTAAAATTATGTGTGAATTTTCATTGCGGCGCCGCCAATTATCAAATTAATGAACAGTATTTGTTTTCTGAATAACGACATCGAACAAATTAACTATTCATATTGTCGTTATACGGCAGTGTTAACTATAAAATTTTAAGTGAAGTTTCATGGCGGCGCTGTCAATTATAAAATTAATAAAAAGTAATTCACAGAAAATATTATATATGTTACTTATTTTTTTTTTTAATTTTGTAATACTTAAAATTTTCTACAACATGTTCTACAATATTAACATGAAAAAAAAATTTACTGAGTACTATTATGCAAATACGAACTAATTAGTTGCATTTTCAAAGAAAATCTACTAATTAATTGTAATTTATCATTTTTAGACAAAAGACAATCCCAAGCTGGAAAAAGCTGTGAATTGACACTAAGCTATAATCCAGTGGCTTTTACATAAACAGAAAACTTTGTTTTGTTTTTTTCTGCCTAAAAACTAATTTATTTAAGGTAATATATTTTTTAATTTAAAAAGAGTAAAAGATATTAGAAAATAGAAAAGTATGGACAGTTATATGAGGAAAAAGAGAATAGAGACACAATGATTGGTACACGTGCTGTTACATTGGATTCTACCCAAATCTATCACCGTTCATTTCTTAAGATGCTTCTCTTCAGCTGACAAGAGTCTTCTGTCAATTTTAACTGTCCTAAAGAGGATTTTGTAACCGTTACACTTTTAAGAGATTATGTCATGTTACCATATTTAGTCAAACATGGAAAGTGTAATTTAACTATAAAATATTAACATTAGGTAATAGACAAGGTAATCAGATTTTTTTCCTTTTTATAATTTGACTTCTCATGATTCATGAAGTTATTTTCCCTTTTTTATGTGAAATATAATTTTGTTTGGCTGTACTTGAAACAAAATCTGTGTTCTACCTTTTTCGTTTGGATTCAGTGATACACCTGTCGTAAAAGAAAAAGTTCTATATTTGTAGATTCCTTGACAAAAACAAAAAACCTAGCTTATAAACGAAAAATTTCTCTTTCATAATAATATATATAAACTATTTATACAGCCCATTTAATACATGAAGTAACCATTGTGGTTCTATATTAACCCATTAACAGCCCGCTAAACGATTTAATGTACACCTTCTAAAAATCCTTTTAGCTTAATTTGAAGAAGAAATCGAATCCCAAAAAAACCCAATAAAATTCAACCAAACCCGAAGTAAAACTGAACAAGAACCCAAAAATTCTGAAAAGCCAAAACAAATTTAAAATTCTTACAAATTTCTTGAAATATTCTTAAAAGGAACTCCTAAAAGTTCTTAAACAATAAAAAAAAAGAGAGGCAAATCTTAAGTTTCATATTCATATATAAATATTTTTACTTAATTTTCTATTTATTTCATGTAAAATTCAATAACTAGAGTAAGATATAGGAATGGATCAATATGCTTAATACTGTTTATTTAATAAAACTATAAAATATGATGTAAACAAATTTTTATATATGTTTGTAAGCTTTTATGTATTGATTTGTATTTGTTTTAAAATATATTAATACAATATATAGTTTGAGGCATTCTATAAAATTTCTAAATAGCTTGAAGCTAATTAGAATGGAAATGTACCTGAATATCTCAAATTAGTCAGTTAGAAGAGAAAGTACTTAATTACCCAAACTATATAGTAAATTTTTTTATTATATATAATTAACTTCTAAAAGGTCGCTACACTTCATCAAATTATATATTTTTTTGGGTTTTTCTAAAAACAAATAGCACAAAATATATATTTTACGACGAATAAAAATTGATTTGACCAAAAAATATTCTTTTTGCTTCTCGCTCCAACACTCCATAATGCCTTCGTTTTGATCGACCATTAGGGGAAGAGTAGATTAGGCAAACAAAGATAAGATTTATATCGAGTTCCTAAATCCAAAAGAGTGAAACCGGATAAATTGCAACCGAAAGGAGAAGGAGAAATCATGTCTCCTACCTAATCATCTTAATTAAAAAGGTTATAGTCTTCTTTACACACCTTAAGGAGATTATATCTTGTTTGCATCTATCATCATCAGATAGAATCATTTATGGTTCTCTTCATAAGTCAAATATTATATTATGTCAAAACCTTGCCGTATAAGGATTAAGGAACCTGTTCTTATTAATTTTCACCAATTCAACATCACCACATATATACTTCCTTTTTTTTCACCAACCCCGAATTTTAACTGCTGAAAGAATACTCTTTATCCACTGATCCAGAACTAAAGCAGGACCAGTCGAAAGCAGGTGTTGCATAGGACCGTTGAGTAAAACTTGAGCCATCTTCTGGTGTGTGGCTTCGGTTAAATGATAACCGTCCCAGTTCACATATTCAGAAGGATTTTGACAATAGCTAACTTCTCTGTGTCCACACTCTTCATTAATAGTGAAGTTGTATTGACCTCCGATTCCACAACAAGCAGCCAAAGGTCGGTTCTTAAACCCTAAAAATTGACCATAAAACGTTGGTCAAGAGATCAAACGGTGATGGTCAATGCCAAAAGTTTTAGAAACGCACTGACCATATTTGACTGGTTCTTGGTATAACCGGAACAAAGAATTGTAGTAGTCGGCATAACTGATGTTGACATGATCATATAGTTCTTGGAGTCTTTTGAGTTCTGTCTTGAGCTGTTCGTTGTGATGCTCTCCAAATTCGTTGAGCCATCGTAGACAACCTGTAAAAGGGTCGTAGTCTTCTTCTTCCGCGGTCTGAAATAGAGTAAGATACGCGGGATAACATCCTAATGGGAAGTTTCCGGGGACCAGAAATGTGTTGCCCCATAAATCAATCAAATCCTGTAGATTTGTTGCCTTATTAGTTTAAATTAAACACAAATGAAACTTCTTTTTAAAGGGGAGGGGAGGGAAACGTAAAGATATTTGTTACCACAATCGCAGAAGAAATAGCTTTGATGACTAGAGGAACAAGCTCTTTGATTTCATTGATACTTTTGCCTTCAAAGAACGGGTAGTTATAGTCATTCACTCCAATCTCTCCCATAAGTATCAGCGAGTCTCCAAGCATCTCTCTACAATCTAAACCCCAAAAGAAAAAAAAAAACCTTCGAATTGAACTCGATTCAACATCATAGATATGGGAGAGAACAAAGCTATGAGTCTAACCACGAGAAGACGAGGTGCAAAGGTTAGGTAAAATCTGTTTGAAGATGTTAAGCTGAACATTTAAGCTAACATTGGTGAAATCAGATTCAATTCCTTTTTCCACAAGAAACGCTCGGTCCAATGCAGTTGCACCATACACCGCGAAATTGATCCCTTGATCAAAGCTCACGTTTTGGGATCCGAAGTAATATGGTACGTTCGGTAGTCCCTAGAATTCAGCTGTCCATGTAAAAATCAGAAAGCAAATAGGGTTTCTAACTTTCTGCCCAAGCAAGAAAGACCTAAAGCAGAGGAGAACAAACGTTTTTGCCTAACATTAGAAAGAGAGGAAAAATTAGGTACCAATGAAGTCGATGATGAGACGGCCATCCGAGTAACGACCGGAGGGAGGATGGAAGAAGCTTTCGCCATAAGGAAGAAATGCGGATTGAGGAAGATGATTGACGTCGGAAAGATGGAGATAATTTCCAGTGTCGGCGCTGGAATCACCGAAGCTGATGATCGATTTATATTGCCGACATCGAGATTCTAATGAAGCAACGGTTATGGTGGTGGAGTATAAGATAAGTAGAAAGCTTGAGATAAGCTTCTTCAGTAGTGAAGCCATGGGAAGAATCGTCTTCGTCGTTTCTGTCACCCGATTTTTATTATCCTTTTGGACCACTAAATATGGTCAGTGGTGGATTTCATTTATGTACTATGCCAACAAGAATATAGTAGTTTGTTTTTTTGGTGTGTCCAAATGTCCAATAATTGTTTGAAAATGCAGTAGTTTCAGAAACGTTCATGCCACGTATAAAAGACACGTAAGGTTATGCATGGGATACACATGGGCGAATCTATCGTCTATAATCCAAGATTCCTTTCAATACACGTAAGGCCATTAATTTTTTTTGGATACAAATTTTATTTTAATTCTTCAAGTTCTTTTTTTTTTTTTGAATTTAATGTTAAATTATATTCAAAGAAAAAATAAACGTTTCTACATTGTTAATGCAAAACTTTTATAACTTCTAATAGAGTCTATCCGTTGTCATTGTCTTGTTGCAAACCATGTTTGGATGCCACTAGCGAGTGAAAAGTCTCCTCCTCTTGTAATCGTGCTCATCCGATTACGAACATTCTTGTCAATCAATTTAACAAGCTTCTCCGTCGTGGAAGGGTGTTCCCCGTGTCTTCTATTGTTCCTCTCTCCCCAAAGAGAGTGTATCGTGTTCTGAAAAGTATAACCAATAAGAAACTTTTGCACCTTGTCCAAGTCTCTGTTGGCTAGTAGTGTCATCACATCCCTCCAGTTTTGCGAGAATTTGTCGAGTAGAATTCCTTTCACTAGTTTTTCCCACACCGCAGCAGAATAAGGGCATACGAAAAATAAGTGATCACATGTCTCTATGGGGTGCTTGCAGAGTATGCAGCTCGGGTCGACGTTCTGATTCCATTGCAGCATTCTATCACCTGTTGCAACCCTATTTTTCACTACCAGCCACGTTTGAAACGCATACTTAGGGGTTGCCTTTGAGAACCAGATTTCCTTATAACCATTCATCAACGGTTTAGCACTCCGTATCTGCGACCACGTCTCCTTTGTTATGAACCTGTTCTTGTAGGTGTCATTCTTCCCTTTCCATAACACAACATCGTGTTCTCCCTGTTTTCGGTTCTGTCTTTGTTTCCTCACTTCCTCTTCAACCAGATTTAGAAGAGGTTGGCGATGCTTTCGTCTTCTGGTCCTGCTCAACACTTCTCCCACTGTACTATGAATCGGAATTCCCAAGTCCACACAACCTCTATCCCCTAGTGTTTCATGGAGACGACCCAAAGAACTCCACCGATCAAACCAAAAAGAAGTAGAATCACCACTTTTTACCTCTACCCGATGAAAGTGTTTTGCTGTCTCCCGATATTTGAGGATCTTTTTCCAAATCCATGAACCATATGTGGAGCTTTGTTTCTCTGACCAGAAGGAGCCACTGCGGATGAGATATCGGTGAACCCAATCCACCCACAACGAACCCTTAGCCGATAGAATTCTCCAAATCAACTTTAAAACACTTTTCTTCAAGTTCTTTTAATAAACTATTAATTTACAATCCAAGATTCCTTCCAATTCTCTGCAATTCTTCCATATTTTCTCTTCTTCTTTCTTGCAAAGACCGGAGCCACTACTAACTTATCATCTTTATCCACTGAATCATAAGAGCCAAGGCAGGACCAGTCGAAAGCAGGAGTTGTATAGGGACCGTTGAGTAAACCCTGAGCCATTTTCTGGTAGGTGGCTTCGGTTAGATGATAACCATCCCAATTCACATATTCAGAAGGATTTTGACAATAGCTAACTCCGTTTTCTCCACACTCTTTACCAATGGTGAAGTTGTATTGACCTCCGACTCCACAACAAGCAGCCAAAGGTCTGTTCTTAAAACCTAAAAAGGGACCATAATTCATAAAACATGGGTTAACGAATAAAACCGTACGTGAGGGTCAAAGACAGAAGCTTTAGAAGGCACAAACCGTATTTGGCTGGTTCTTGGAAAAACCAGTACAAAGAGTTGTAGTAGTCGGCGTAAATGATGTTGACATGAGGGTAGAGTTTTTGGAGTTGTTTGAGTTCTATCTTAAGTTGTTCGTTATGGAGCTCTCCAAATTTGTTAAGCCATGGGATACAACCTGTAAAAGGGTCGTGTTCTACTGTCGCGGTCTGAAATAGAGTAAGATATGCTGCGGAACATCCTATTGGGAAGTTTCCGGGCACCAAGAATGTTTTTCCTCCCAAATCGATCAAATCCTGTAGTTTTATTACTTAATTAGTTTGTTAAAATTTGAAGCACACATTTTTGAGTAGAGGGCAATGTAAAGATTATTTACCATAATTGCAGAAGAAATAGCTTTGATGATCAGAGGAACAAGCTCTTTGATTTCATTGATACTTTTGCCTTCGAAAAATGGGTAGTTATAGTCGTTTCCTCCAATCTCTCCCATGAGTATCAGCGAGTCTCCAAGCATCTCTCTGCAATCTAAACCCCCAACGAAAAAAAAGTTAGAAGCGAGCTCAATGCATCGTAGATATGGAAGAGAACAAGGCTAAGTTTGTAACCACGAGTAGACGAGGCACATAAGTTAGGTAAAATCTTCTTGAAGGTGTTAAGCTGAACACTTAGACTAATATTGGTGAAGTCAGATTTAATTCCTTGTTTTACAAGAAAGGCACGATCCAAGGCGGTTGCTCCATACACAGCGAAATTTATCCCTTGATTGAAGCTCACGTTTTGGGATCCGAAGTAAGGCGGAACGTAAGGTAGTCCCAAGAATTCGACTGTACAAAAACTAAGACAAAATTACAAAAACACAGAAGCAAGTAGGGTTTATAACTTGCTGTTCAAGCAATAGAGACCTAAAGCACAGGAGTGATCGAGTGGTTTTTGTTGAAAATAACTAAAAATAGAGAAGAAAAATCAGGTACCAATGAAATCTATAATGAGACGGCCGTCCGAGTAACGGCCGGATGGAGGATGGAAGAAGCTTTCCCCGTAAGGAAGAAATGCGGCTTGAGGAAGATTTTTGACGTTGGAGAGACGAAGATAATTTCCGGTGTCAGCAATGGAGTCACCGAAGCTGATGATTGATTTGTAACGCCGACACCGAGATTCTGATGAGGCAACGACGATAGTGGTGGAGTATAAGATAAGTAGAAAGCTTACGATGAGCGAAGCCATGAGGAGAGTCGTCGTCATCGTCTCTATTACTCAATTTTAGAATCTTTTTCGACCATGAACTAATGCTGAGTTTGAGGCGTTAGTTATTGGATTTTTGTATTATCCTAATTCCTAAGAGCATCTCCAATGGGAGAGAGCCCCCTATGGGTTCTCTCCCATTGTTTAATATAAATTTTGTAAAATTTAAAGTTGAAAATATTTTTAAGAGTTCTTCAATTTTTCTTCCTCCAATGGTAGGGTTCTCTTAAGAATAAATCATTTAAATTTTTGAAAAACAAGAAGTGGTGTGTATTTGTAAAACAAGAAGAAGTGTTGTTTGTGTCTTTGTAAAACAAGACAAAATGTTGTGTCTTTGTAAAACAAGAAGTATTGTTTGTGTCTTTGTAAAACAAGAATAATTGTTGTATTTTGATATAACAAGAAGAAGTGTTGTATCACAATATAATTAGATTTGGTATATTTTCTTGTCTTGAATACCTCATCCGAAAATTGTGATGCATGTCTTTAAAAATTTCAGTATGTTTGAAGTAGTGGTATCATACAAAAATCAGAAATTGGCATTCAATTATGCCATACGTTACCTTCTTTAATATATTTTCATATTAATAAACCTCTCAACCTCCACTTCTCATCCATCACACAATCCTCAAAACAAAAGAAACAAACCCAAAAACAGAGCAATCTCAGAGAGATGAAGCTGCTCTCTTCACCATGCAACTAACCAGCGCCTCAGTTGAGTTCTTGGACATCATGCTGCATGAAAGAATCATATGTATCCCAACCAAACGACTTTGTCAGCGCCAATGTCGTTACACTGAAGCTTGTAAAACAAACTCTGAAGCGCCAATGGGATACTAGCTGTAGGTGCATCATTTTCAGTCGTTGGCAATTTCGCATGTGATACACAGCCTACAAGCATGGGTGCATTATTCAGATGTCTTTTTCTAGAATTTAGTGAACTCATGATTAAGCAAATATAAAAAGGAAACAAGACATGCATCCAACCGTTCTGATGTAAGGTATGTGGTATAAAGTCTGCAGGAGAGAATTCGTGTAACAGGTAGCACCTTGGTTTTTTTAGTCCAGCAAAACCAGTCCACCAACACAACCATAAAGTGAAAAAAGAAACTATAGTATGACAAACGTATAACTATTGATAAAACAAATAAATCTCGACAACTCTAAGGTAATTACCCTAATATATGATTCTGACTTTTATCTCACTTGCATAAGTAACAAAACATCTACGAATATTAATCCAAGTCTTTTGATTGAGATTATCGGCAGTCTAAGAAGTTAAGACAAGTATAGCTCTAACTTACAAGTTCTATCAATCAATTGATTTAGCAACTTAAGCCACTATAATCTTAGCAAATCTAAATCAATATGAAAACTCAGGTCTTTTCATTGCAGATGCAGATTCAAATCAATCTCAAACAATATTTAAAAGTCTCTGTTCAGAAGTCAGAGGAATTGCAAAACAGAGAGTCAAATCAACCAATGGATTCTGTTCGAGAGAACCTGTAAATCGAAGTGGGCTTGGCACAATGGATCTCTGAATCTCTCTCTCTTTCTCTGATGAACCCTAAAAATTGATGCAGAGAAAAGAAATGAAATTGATTGGAAAGATGATGACTCCGGCGTCATGAACTCTCAGATACCACGATTACACACGTTATTTTACTCCCATTCATCGGAATCGGAGAAATCGGAGGTTTGATCGCCATCGCCGGAGAGAGAAAGTCGGGAGTCGTTACTGAAGAGAGAAATAGAACACACGCGTTTTTTTCTGTTAAAAATCATCATCCAATCAAATGTTGCCACGTGTACGGCTCTCTCTGATTCTCAAATCTCTCTCAAGAGAACTGGTTCTCTGGTTATTTAGCATTTTTGATTTATTTTAATTGTACTTAAACAAGAGAACTCTACAAATTTGATGAGAGAACCTCCCATTGGAGGTGCTCTAACGCCAACGAGTAAATTGAGGAAAATGGTCAGGTTTATTAATGACTATTGAGTGTTCAATGAAGTAACTTCAGAAACGTCCAGTTTATAGGTTAGATGGCTAAATCGTACTTAAGTGCCACGTATAAAAAGACACCTAAGTTATGCATGGATACAAATGGATTAGTCTCTCGTCTTAGTCACTTTTAATTTAGTGTGATCGAGAACTTTAGGTAACCCAAATAAGAAATTTTAAGTAATTCATGTTTTTTTCTAATAAAATTTTGAACTTTTTCGAAATTTAAATGACCAAAATGTGCAATCAATGGACCTCACATGTTCTCATCTATTATATCCATCTATTGTAGTATAGTATTTTAAGTTGTCCCAAATAGTGTATTATGTTCTCAATCTTTCAGTCCAATGGATGTTATGAAATTATTTAAATCCTAAGCTGGCGATTGTCCCCCTCAATTCATCCAAAACTTCTCTAAAACCTTCCAGGGAACTGTTAGAATGGTCTTCAAATTAAATTATACGCCACTTCGAGATTGTGGAGAAAGATTTTCTCAACATTGTAACTAAAGTGTTACGAACCCCATAAATAGGATTTTCTATTGCGTGTGGAATTTTTCAGTGATAACTGATAAGACATATGCATATAGCTTACACATATCCTCGAAATTTTTGTCATTAGTCAAATCTTGCCGTACAAGCAATCTGTTTGTTCAACATCATCATCATCAACATCATCATCATCATCATTCATCATCATCATCACATAATTTTCTTCCTCTTTTTTTCACAACAAATGAATTCTAACTGCTGAAAGAATACTCTTTATCCACTGAACCAGAGCCAAGGCAGGACCAATCGAAAGCAGGAGTTGCATAGGGACCGTTGAGTATACCCTCAGCCATCTTCTGGTACGCGGCTTCTGTTAAATGATAACCATCCCAATTCACGTACTCAGAAGGATTTTGACAATAGCTAACTCCTTCGGATCCACACTCCTTACCAATAGTGAAGTTGTATCGACCTCCCACTCCACAGCAAGCAGCCAAAGGTCTGTTCTTAAACCCTAATGAAGAAGACAAACAAAATATCGGTTAATGAATTAAACCGTGAGGGTCAACGACAGAGTTTTTAAGGGGCACGGACCATATTTAGCTGGTTCTTGATAAAACCGGTATAAGGAGTTATGGTAGTCAGCGTAAATGATGTTGACATCAGGATAGAGTTTTTGGAGTCGTTTGAGTTCTGTCTTAAGTTGTTCGTTGTCGCGCTCTCCAGATTCATTGAGCCGTGGGATACAACCTGTCAAAGGGTCGTAGTCTTCTTCTGCCGCGTTCTGATATTGAGTAAGACACGCTGCGGAACATCCTGCTGGGAATCCTCCCGGTACCAAAAATGTTTTGCCCCCTAAAGCGATCAAATCCTGTAGTTTGGTTGCTTAATTTGTTGAAAAGATTATTTTTGTGTGTGGGGGAGGGAAATGTAAAGATTTGTTACCACAATTGCAGAAGAAATAGCTTTGATGATCAAATCCTGTAGTTTGGTTTCATTGATACTTTTGCCTTCGGAGGATGGGTAAAAAAAGTCGTTACCTCCAATCTCTCCCATGAGTATCAGCGAGTCTCCAAGCATCTCTCTGCAATCTAAACACAAAATTAAATAAACCCTGTTAGAACAAGGCTAAGTTTTTGTTTATCAAATTAAAAGGCTGAGTTTCTAACCACGAGAAGACGAGGCACAAAGGTTAGGCAAAATCTGCTTGAAGATGTCAAGTTGAACACTTAAACTAACATTGGTGAAATCAGATTCAATTCCTTTTCCCACAAAATACGCTCGGTCCAGTGCGGTTGCTCCATACACCGCGAAATTGATCCCTTGTTCAAAGCTAACGTTTTGGGATCCAAAGTAAGGTGGAACATACGGTAGTCCCAAGAATTCAGCTGTTCAAATAGTAAGACAACATTACAAAAACTCAGGAAGAAGTAGGGTTTCTATCTTGCTTTCCACGCAAGATAGACCTAAAGCAGATGATAACAAGTGGTTTTGCCTAAAGAGAGAAAATATAAGGTACCGATGAAGTCGATGATGAGACGGCCATCAGAGGCACGACCAGAGGGAGGATGGAAGAAGCTTTCACCATAAGGAAAAAAGGCGGTTTGAGGAAGATGATTGACGTCGGAGAGATGGAGATAATTTCCGGTGTCGGCGATGGAATCACCAAAGCTGATGATCGATTTAAAACGCCTACATCGAGATTCTGATGAAGCAACAATGATGGTGGTGGAGTATAAGACAAGTAGAAAGCTTGAGATAAGCTTCTTCAGTGAATAAGCCATGGGAAGAGTCGTGATCTTCGTTCGTCTTTCACACTCAATTTTTATAATCTTTTTGGATCATGGAATAATGCAAGAGATGAGGCAATTATTGGATTTCATTTATTATGCCAGACAAAAAGAGATAAAATGGAAAAAAATTGGTTATTGTTGTAAAAGTAAAAAAAAAAAAAAAGAACAATAACGTCAACAATGTACGTGCATACACATGCGTTACGTGTTACGTAAATGTGAAGTCCACGTCACTATGCAAGTACAGTAAATTTATCTTTTTACCTCTATATAGAAAACGATAAATCGTTCATTGTAATACACATCATTCGCATAACTTCAATTTTACGAAAAAAAAAAAATTCTCGTCTCTTTATTATTCAGTATTCCGATTCTTTGCGAGTTTAAAATTTCTCACTGATTTATTATATCTACCATAAAATAAAAAATTATTTATAACAGTTATTTGTTATTTTACCAAAAGAAATTTTGGTTATGGGTTGAAAATGAAGTAACGTCAGAAACGTCAGACAAGTTGGACGCTCCATCACAAAATTGGATTATTCGATAACAGAAATCGTGAAAATAATAAGGGTATCTATAACATATGACAACAGATGAATTAATAATTAGTTCTCTCTCATCACACTATTTGGCATTTACTTTATACATAAAAAAGACAATAGCACCCTCAACACATTATTATCAATTCTCTTTGTTTTTCCTCTTTTCTTTTTGTACATTTCTCAATCTTCTTTTCTCTCTCTCTTCATAACACATCTCAGAAATGAACGGTGGTCGAGAAAGACACGGAGACGACGGCGATGAAGATGATTGTATGTAGCTAAGTTTTCTGGCAAGAGCAATGGTTAAGTGGCACAAATGATTGTACATGTTAATAGTTCTGATGGTGGTGGTGATGATTCCATCGGTGGTGGTGATGATTATATCGGTTGCGGTAACTACGTCGGAGAAAGAGACAGTGTCGTGAAGTTAGATCAAATGGAGTAGTGAGTTGAGACGAAGATAGGGACGGAGGAGCTGTGATGATTGAAGATTTGACAGCGGCGACCAAAAAACTTAATTATGTTGTTTTCTGGGTTTGCCTCGTCGGTGACCAGAAATAGAGTAACACATGTTACTTTTATTGTTATCATGTTAACATCGTTATACACGTTAATATAAATATTAACTATATATCTATTATCTTACCATAAATATTTTCAATGATAATATAAACTTTATCATATCAATTATAAACTTATCGCGATACAATATGTTTTAACATGATATATTTATAAACTTAGTGATATATATTTTGTTATCGTGTTAAACCAATAGATAATCATTTAACTCATCATATATTCTTATTCAGATATTTGACGGACAATTTATTCAGAATCAAATAAGAAACGTCGATAACTATTTTATTATATTGTTAATTAATTTGTTATATGCGGAGGAGCATTTTTGTCCAACTTACAGAAATTGAGGAGAGAGAACTAATAATATAAAAATCATAGGTATATTCTTAATTTTTTGGTCAATTGTAGTTTTAAATTAATATAGCCCAAATAATAACAACGAAATATTCCTTCATTGCTTTTTCTTTTTCTTTTTGGCCTTCCTTACTTTTTATAATCATATAAATGGATTCTTTAACTAATCCATTATAAAATGAGTGAAAAAGAAAGAGAACAATTATGAAACGGTTATGGAGATATGTGACGCACGGCGATAGTATCCGTGATCCCTCGCTCAAGTGGCCGATCTACTCACTGTTTTTAATGGAGTCAATTTTTTAGTGCGTGTGGTATTTTTCAGTGATACGATATATGCATATATCTTCGAAATTTTGTCATTAGTCAAATCTTGCTGTACACGCAATCTGTTTCTTCCTCTTTTTTTTTCTTTCACAAATGAATTCTAACTGCTGAAAGAATACTCTTTATCCACTGAACCAGAGCCGAGGCAGGACCAATCGAAAGCAGGAATGGCATTAGGACCGTTGAGTATACCCTCAGCCATCTTCTTGTACGCGGCTTCGGTTAAATGATAACCATCCCAATTCACATACTCAGAAGGATTTTGACAATAGCTAACTCCTTCATATCCACACTCTTTACCAATAGTGAAATTGTATTGACCTCCGACTCCACAGCAAGCAGCCAAAGGTCTGTTCTTAAACCCTAATGAAAAAGACAAACAAATTATCTATTAATGAGTTCCATCGTGAGGGTCAACGACAGAGTGACAGAGTTTTTACGGGGCACGGACCGTATTTAGCTGGTTCTTGATAAAACCTGTATAAGGGGTTGTGGTAGTCAGCGTAAATGATGTTGACATGAGGATAGAGTTTTTGGAGTTGTTCGAGTTCTGTCTTTAGCTGTTCGTTGTGGTGCTCGCCAAATTCGTTGAGCCATGGGATACAACCTGTGAAAGGGTCGTGGTCTTTTTCTGCCACGGTCTGAAATAGAGTAAGATACGCCGCAGAACATCCTGCTGGGAAGCCTCCGGGTACCAAAAATGTTTTGCCCCCTAAATCTATCAAATCCTGTAGTTTTGTGCTTAATTTTTTAAAATGTAAAACAGGAATATAATGTGATTATTTTTGTGTTTGGTGGGAGGGAATTGTAAAGATTTGTTACCACAATTGCGGAAGAAATAGCTTTGATGATTAGAGGAACAAGCTCTTTGATTTCATTGATACTTTTTCCTTCGAAAAATGGGTAATTATAGTCGTTTCCTCCAATCTCTCCCATGAGTATCAACGAGTCTCCAAGAATCTCTTTGCAATCTAGACAAAAAAATAAATAAACCCTGTTAGAACCAAGCTAGACTCATCATCATAGATATAGAAAAGAACAAGGCTAAGTTTCTAACCACGAGTAGACGAGGCGCATAAGTTAGGCAAAATCTGCTTGAAGATGTCAAGCTGAACACTTAAACTAACATTGGTGAAATCAGATTCAATTCCTTTTCCCACAAGAAACGCTCGGTCCAATGCGGTTGCTCCATACACCGCAAAATTGATCCCTTGTTCGAAGCTAACGTTTTGGGATCCAAAATAAGGCGGTACATATGGTAATCCCAAGAATTCGGCTGTTCAAATAGTAAGACAACATTAAAAAAAATCAAGAAGAAGTATAACGTAAGAAAGACCTATAGCAAATGAGAACAAGTGTTTTTGTCTAAAGAGAGGAAATAATAGGTACCAATGAAGTCAATGATGAGACGGCCATCAGAGGCACGACCGGAGGGAGGATGGAAGAAGCTTTCGCCATAAGGAAGAAAGGCGGTTTGAGGAAGATGATTGACATCGGAGAGATGGAGATAATTTCCGGTGTCGGCGATGGAATCACCAAAGCTTATGATCGATTTAAAACGCCGACATCGAGATTCTGATGAAGCAACAATGATGGTGGTGTAGTACAAGACAAGTAGAAAGCTTGAGATAAGCTGCTTCAGTGAAGAAGCCATGGGAAGAGTCGTGGGATCTTGGTCATCTTTTGTCACTCAAAATTTTATAGTCTTTTTGGATCATTGAATAACGCAAGATATGAGGCCATTATTGGATTTCATTTATTATGCCAGTAAGAAAGAGAGAAATGGGAAAAATTGGTTATTTTACGAAAAGAAATTTTGGTTATTGGTTGAAAACGAAGTAAATTCAGAAACGTCAGACAAGTTGGAGGCTCCATCACAAAATTGGATTCTTCGATGATAGAAATCGTGAAAATAATAATAACGAAATATTCCTTCATTGCTTTTTCTTTTTCTTTTTGGTTTTCGCCTTCCTTACTCTTTTTTATTTTATTTTTTATAATCATATAAAAGGATTCTTTACATTCCCAATCTATAAACGAGTGAAATAGAAAGAAATGATTATGGAGATGTGTGACGCACGCGATAGTCTCCGTGATCCCTCAAATGGCCCGATCTACTCACTATTTTTTATGGAGCCAGTTTTTATGTGGAATTAAATATAAATCAAATATAATTATCATTCATTTTGGAATAATACGAATATCTTTATTAGAGTATTTACCTATTTGGAAGAAAAAAAAATTAATTCGTTACTGTCTACAGTCTACATAATTTTTTATTGGTCGTTATTATTTATTAGTAATAAAAAGCATAACACTGTGAATTAAAAATAAATCGTGTGCTACTAGGGACTAGGGTAAGCCGTAAGCCAAATGTATCAAAAACTTTTGCTTCTGTTTTGTTTCGCCGGTTTTGGACAAATCAAGTTGCTTGTTGGAACTCAATACGTTGCTACAACAATGTTTGTTTCAAAGACTTTGTGTGTGTGTGTTTTTTCAGGAAAATGTAATTATAAGTTGGGATTGTTTTCTGGAAATTTTTTTTATCAAAAAAGTATAAATAATAAGCGCCATAGATCGACGAATCAAAATCAATAATAATGGCATTGCGATTAACAATATTTTTTCTGCGGTGCCTTGAAAACCTACATGTTCCACTTTTAGGCTTCTGGTTTGTGTGCCAAAGTCATCACTTTTTTGGAGTCACTTTATTTCACAATTTTATAATTCCGGCTGACCTTTCCAACCTCTCATATGAATGTTTAATAATCCATATTCGACTTTCAAGAAAATCCTCTACAATTTTCAAGAAATCTCACATTTGATTATGATTCCACTTAAATCTCGTAAATTAAACTAATATAGGAGTATAATATACGGTAGTTTAACAAATACATGACAATACTGACCTAACCGAATCTATATTCCAATTTGCATTCAAAAACAATCATCAATCATAACAATTTTGGCATCAGCACCGGTCAAGTGACTATTAAAAAAGTTTAGTAGCACCACTTGTGTTTTTTTTACTAATGAACCACAACCATTTAGTTCCACCAACTTCATATAGTTCTCGACTTCTAATTTATTTTATTGTTTCTTACCAATATATTTTTGTTCACTAGCCATCATTTTTCCCAAATCGGAGATCTAAACAGATTAAAAATTAGTCTTTCCAGCAATTGTTATTGACGCTAGATTCTATTGAGCATTTTGTTACAAAAATTTCGACCACAACTTTATCTTACGAAATAAAAAGAAAAGAAAAATACTAATCTTGTGGAGGAGAAAAACAGTGAAAAAAACAACAAGCATGATTGAAAAGACTCAAACAAAACTCGATCATAAAAACAGTGAAGACGAGTATGAAGTATGGTATGAATAAGAAAAAGACTAAAATGGTTTGTTTGAAACTGTTGTAGGTAAGAAATTTGGACATGGGACTTGACTGTTTGGTAGTTGGTGAAGCCCCTACTCTCGTGAGCTGTCCTCAAGGCATTGATTTTGCTTCTCTGATCGATATTATAAATTTGGACCCCAAGACTTATGTTGGAAGCAACAAAGACCCATACTATCAATCTTATTAAGGTATGGCGACACTTGAAATTACCGAAATAGCCCTGGTTCAACCTTCTCACCAACCACTCTCCAACGAGCAAACACTCTCTCTCTCTCACCTTGATAATGATAACAACCTCCACGTCAGCTTCCGTTACCTCCGTGTTTACTCCTCCTCTTCCACCGTCGCCGGGAAAAGCCCCTCTGCCGTCGTTTCCGCCTCTCTCGCCACCGCTCTTGTCCATTATTACCCTCTCGCTGGCTGTCTCCGTCGCTCTGCCTCCGATAACCGTTTTGAACTATTCTGCTCCGCTGGTCAGAGCGTCCCTTTAGTCAACGCTTCTGTGAACTGTACGCTTGAATCCGTCGGGTTTTTGGATGGACCCGATCCAGGTTTTGTCGAGAGATTGGTACCGGATCCGACCCGGGAGGAAGGAATGCTTAATCCATGTATACTCCAAGTCACGATGTTTCAGTGTGGTGGTTGGGTTTTAGGAGCAGCGATTCACCACGCGATCTGCGATGGGTTAGGTGCGAGTCTTTTCTTCAACGCTATGGCAGAACTAGCTCGTGGAGCGACTGAGATCTCGATTGAACCGGTTTGGGACAGAGAACGTTTACTTGGTCCAAGGGAGAAGCCTTGGGTTGGAGCTCCAGTTCGTGACTTCTTGAGCCTGGATAAGGACTTTGATCCATATGGACAAGCCATTGGAGACGTCAAGAGAGTGTGCTTCTTCGTGACCGACGAGTCTTTGGACCAATTGAAGGCTCAATTACTCGAGAAATCGGGTGTGAATTTCACCACATTCGAAGCTCTAGGTGCTTACATTTGGCGTGCAAAGTAAGTAACCCTTTCTTCGCGATGTTTAATTCATCAAATTTCTTGAAATGTTTGATCTAAAACAAGAAAATATCGAAATTCAGGGTAAGAGCTGCGAAGATTGAGGAAAAGGAGAACGTGAAATTTGTGTATTCGATCAATATAAGGAGATTGATGAATCCACCTTTGCCTAAAGGCTACTGGGGAAACGGATGTGTGCCAATGTATGCTCAGGTCAAAGCTGGAGAGCTCATTGAGCAACCAATCTGGAAAACTGCAGAGCTCATAAAACAGAGCAAATCCAATGCGAGTGATGAATACGTACGCTCCTTTATCGACTTCCAAGAGCTGCATCACAAAGATGGAATCAATGCCGGTACAGGTAAACTATATATATAACGATTTGTGTTGGAAACTGAGGGAGTACCAAAGTCAAAGTTTCATGCTTTTTTGGTTTTCTTGTTGGGACTGTGTAAAACAGGAGTGACCGGATTCACGGACTGGCGATACTTGGGGCATTCCACGATTGATTTCGGATGGGGAGGACCTGTGACGGTTTTGCCACTATCAAACAAGTTGCTTGGAAGCATGGAACCATGTTTTTTCTTGCCATATTCTACTGATGCTGCAGCTGGAAGCAAGAAGGACAGTGGGTTTAAGGTTTTGGTGAATCTGCGCGAATCTGCAATGCCTGAGTTTAAGGAGGCCATGGATAAGTTCCACGAAGGTGAATATGCTCTGTCTTGATCACCGAAAAGACGCCTCTATATACGCACAATGAAACAAAACAAAAAATCATCAACCATTTGTATAACCTTCGTTTTCATCACTGAACAAATGTTTTTGAGGTCAATGTATTTGATTTGAAGAGCGTGAATAAGAGAAGCCTTACTGTGTTTTCACAATTATCACTTCTGTAAAAACACTCTTGAGGCAAAAAGTATCATCTCCAATCAATCTTCTATGAGTGTACCAAACTCAAAAAGCCTGATAAGTGTGAGACTCTTATTCAAGTACTCCAATCAATCTTCGCTGGTCCAACTACGACCGATATTTTTGGATATCCTTCTAGCTTTCATCACCTCCCGGATCTTGCTCACATTGTCCCACTGATCATTAGAAGCATAGACATTCGATAATGCTAAATAAGCTCCAGGTCTTTTGTCAGCATTCAGTTTGAAAAGCTCACTCGCAGCAATGCTTGCGAGGTCAACATTACCATGCAGATTACAAGAACTGAGAAGAGCTGCCCAAACATCTAAGTTATGCCTTTCCGGCATCGCCCTAACAAATTCAAAAGCTTTATTCAATTCTCCAGCTCGTCCCATGAGATCAACCATGCAAGCATAGTGTTCCATCTTTGGCTTCATGGAATACTCTCTCTGCATGCTCTCAAAGATCTCATAACCTTTATCGACTAAACCAGAATGTGAACAAGCAGAGAGAGCTCCAAGAAAGGTTACATAATTTGGTTCTATACGGAATTCCTTCATCCTAGTGAAGAGTTCGAGTGCTTCCTCAGGGTTTCCATTCTTTCCATATCCATCAATCATCGAAGTCCACGAAAACACGTTTTTCTCTTGCATTTGGTCAAAGACTCTTCTTGCATCTTCGATCCCTCCGCATTTGGCATACATGTCTAACAAAGAGCTCCCCATTTTGATATGTGTGTAAACTCCACTCTTCATAATCTGCGCGTGCACTTGCTGCCCAACTTCATGGGATGTCAAAACCGAACACGCTCCAATCACGCTAGCAAAAGTTGAAATATTCGGATGGAAACCGGCTCGTTGCATCGAAATATACATGTCAACTGATCTCTTAGCAGTTTCACTTGATCTGCTGAAACCTTCCACCATAGCATTGTAAACTACAATATCCTTCACTTTGGTTGTATTGAAAATCTCTTCAGCATCCTCCACAAAACCTTGATTCATGTAACCTGAAATCATTGATGTACAACACACAACATTCTCATCTTTCATTGTTTCAAACACAGTCCTTGCAGACTCCAACTTCCCACTCTTCACATAAGCATCCACAAGTGCAGTAATCAACACATCATCGAGTTCAACGTCACATTTTATAATCCGGGCATGGACCAACCTGCATAAGCTACTCGGCATTATCATATTTGAACCAAGACTATTAGAAGCCTTTAGAACCATGGAAAGAGTATACCCATCTGCCTTTTCCCCAGAGTATGACATCCGTTGAACTAGGAGAAGTAATTCCTTTAAAAATCCATGCTTTAAGTAGCCACTAATCATGTAGTTGTAAGCCGATAATGTTGGCTTGGGTAATTCGTCGAACACTTGGCGTGCATAACTCAAGCAGCCGCATTTTAAATGGAGAATCAGTAGTTTGATGGATATGTTCAAATCTGGTATAAACCCAGTTTTGATGATATCGGCGTGTATCTTCTGCCCAGCTTTTGGAGCTGAAGAATTGATGTGTTCTTGTAAAGCTCCCGCAATGTATTTCGCTGGTGAGAGAGAAGAAACTTTTTGTTTCAACGGGAATGTTGAGTAGTGATTCGACGGGAAAATCCGCGGTGAGATTGACGTGAATCTGAAGATTCTCATGCTGCTGTGTGAATTGTGTGATAAAGATTGAAACTTTACGAGTAATTACAATGGCTCTGTTTTAAGCTTTTCCATAATGACAAAAGATATATATATATAGAGAGAGAGACGCTAAAACGACAGCGTTTAAGACAGCGTTCAAACCACAATGGTCTTTGCGCGTTGTTTCTTTCTTCTTATCTTTTTGACTTTTCAACATCATATCATCGATTGTTTTGGCAATGGACAAATTATTCTCAATTTGGTATGTGGCTTTTTAATTCATTTATAATATTTTTTGTGACATCATAAATTAATTAATTACCAAAAAGGTGATTTTATTTACAATAAGTGAAAATAAGCTTGAGAAAAAACCAAAAACAAAATAAATTATCAAACTCATCTGGCTTGAAATCACATTTGGTCTAATGGTATGATATTTCTTACTTTGGGTGCACGAGTTATCGAGCTCTCTCATTTGGTTTATCCACCAACTTGTGCATTGGATTTGGAACTCTCGTCTTCTATGTGTTGATCCTTTTCAGTAGCTAGCTAGGTGGTAGAATTTACCAGCAATTATTCGTGTAGCTGGAACTAAAAGCGAAAAACAATCTTGTTGTAACACACATATAAGATGTTTTGTAGTTACTTGTCAAAAGAGAATTGTTCCTCTAGCTCGCTAGTACTGTAGAAATACATCATTAATTTGCATATATGAACGAAGAAGGTCAGAGCTTGGGGATTTTGGGGATGTAGTGTGCCTCACTCCATGAACGCCCGCACTCAACATGGGGGCTCCACTTGCTGTTGACACGGGAGGCTTTGTAGTGTTTCCAGTCATGAAGAACAACAGTGAGATCAGAGATCTTAGCAGGGATGTAGCGGCAACAGTTGGCGTGGACGGTGGTGACAACGCCCATGTCAGGGCTGTCTTGGCAGAAGCCACTGAATTCGGTAGTGTTGAGGAAGCCAACGTTGAGGCCAAGCTGGTTAAAAAAGCCGGAGTCGAGGAGCTGTTTAAGGACGTCTTGTTCCTTCATGCCTGTCGACTTGAGCCTCATGTCGTACCATTTTTGGAAGAGGGAGATGGTCTTGTTGTTGGACCGGACGTGGTAGAATCCCGTGTTGATCGGGTGTCCTCCCACGTCAATACTGTCCACACTTATCTGCATATCCAAGCTCTCGTTGTTGCTTAGCCGGGAAAAAGGGCTCCTTAGCCACATCACGTCCGTATCCTGACATACATATATACACTACTTGTTGAGAAACAAATTAAGTGTTTTACTATATGTTCCAAAATAGAGGGACGGACCATACCGTGAAAACAAGATTGTAGCCGCGGCTGAGGACGTCAAGGAGCAAGCGAGTCCTCCTCCACATCATCTCAATGAAATCTTTTGACATGTATACTTTCTCTCCCTCCAAGTCAACCCCTTGCGTATCCATCTTGTAGCAGTGGAGCCTCCTGAAGAGGCAGCGATCGTAGGCCGTCTGATCTGCTGCCACTACCATCAGATGGTTAACAAGCGGCCGAGTCCCCTCTCCTTCCCAAAAACTCTCCAAAAAAAGATCCATCATCGTCCTCCCTCCTCCAACCTCCTCTACGTAAGCTTTGTTCACCATTGCTATAATCACCGTCTTGTTGTTTCCCGTCGCTGCCTGGTCTAGGACCGCTTCTAGCTCGTCCACCGGATACTCTGTCCATCTCTGCCACCACTTCAAAATATTTAAAACCTTCCTATATTTACTCTAGAATTCCAAATATACTATGTGAATCAACTTACAGTCTCTACATTTTGTAGGCGATCGGAGATAGGATCAGAAGCTGAACGTGATTGGAAGCAGATATATAAGGCGCCGGCAAAGAGAAGAGAAACGGCCAGGGCGAGACTACCGGAGGAGTTATTGGAGGAAGGCATATGTTTTAGGTTTGTTCGGATTATTAGGAGACTCACCTCTATTTCATGTGCCCTCTTTTCTCTCTTTTGATTGGCAGACAACAATTTAACCCTATATTTATATGTAACCGGATTTGGATGTAACACCAAACTCAAGCCATCCCAATTTAATGTGAATATCACTAACGTTTTTAAGAGACGAAAAAAAATTAAAATATCACTGACGTTTTTAAGGTTCCTTCTCGAATATGTCACACACGAATCATCTTCTTTTGTTCATCATCTTTTGTTCCAGGGTTTTTCGTTTTTGTTTACGTATTTGTATTTCTGTCTCCGGATTATTATCAAGCCAACGTAATATTCTATTTCCCTGAGAAAATCTTATAAATATTTTTTCAATATTTACTTATATATCTTATTGGCTTAATTTCAGGTAACAAAATTTTCCATATAAATTAAATTTGCGTTTTAGATTTTATTTTTTTGTCATCTTGCGTTTTAGATCTTTTATAGATAAACATTCAGCAGTTCAAGATTTTGTGGTTTTGTGTAATGTTTCAACAAATATTAAAAATTACAGACAAATCACATTCCCTGAAAGTCAACTAATAGTACTAGACATAAATTTAGGCTGGTAAAGCCAAACCTATAGAGATAGATTAAAATCCATATTAATATCAGTTAGGCAACAAGAAATAAATTGTCAATGGACTTCTATTGGGGATTCTCTATGATCTTAACAAAAATAGTACATAACCAAGAATTTGGTATAGCTCTATGGTCAAATCACATGTTTCCAGAACCTTTGCTTACAGGCCCGATGAGGCGATGACGTAGCTGTGAATTATCAATGAGCTTCATATTTCACAATTGAACATTAATGATTTACCAAATTTAAGCATGAGCAGATTAGAAACAACATTACTTGCTCTTAGACGATGATTTGAACATTTTAACAAACAGAGGACCAGATCGTTACCATTTTTAAGTGAAAGGTATCAATGATTTGGGCACGTGGTCTGCGTTTAGGTCTACGACTTCAGCTCCTGGAATTCTTGGAATGGTTTTCGAGATTACTAAAGGAATTGGTGTAACACCAAAGTTTTGCTTTCACATCCAAAGACTTGATCTCTTCAATCACACAACACCTCCCCCTTCTGCAGCTTCAACTAGTAAACATTTCGTACTTCAGCCTCTTTTTGAAAAAAAAAAAGTCTAGAAGACCACAAAAATATTTGAACCAGATTGCATAAACAAGAGGGCATTTGGTCTAGTGGTATGATTCTCGCTTAGGGTGCGAGAGGTCCCGAGTTCAATTCTCGGAATGCCCCATTTGACTTTTTGTAAAACAAATGTTCTAATGTCAGCTAACAGTTCATCAATATTAAATGATAGACTGTCCACCTTTACTATTAAGCCCTGAAAGTCAACTAATAGAACTAGATCTAAAACATCATTTCTTTCTTAGATTATCTAAACAAGAAAGCATTCTACTATCATATTCAAATATATAAGTTAAAGAATAGCTTGAACTTACTGCATGTTGCCAGCTTCATCACGAATAGCACCTTCAAAAGGTTTACAATCCCCCAAGAGTAAATTTCCTGTATAACGGAGTGAAGCATGAGTTCGCTTTTCCACAGAGATTACACAACAACACAATGCTTCGATGGGAGCTAATTCAAAAACAGGGCATTTGGTCTAGTGGTATGATTCTCGCTTAGGTTGCGAGAGGTCCCAAGTTCAAAATTCTCGGAATGCCCCATTTGACTTTCTGTAAATCATCTGTTCTAAATGCCAGCAGCTTCCTTAGAAAATCAGTCCTATATATCATTCACAGATAAACTAACTGCAGACCATATGTTTTCTTCTAATTTAGCAAGAGAAAAGCAAAAACAAAAAAGTTCCTTAAAGTTTCATTTTATTAAGTGCATAATGCAAAGAAAAAGAACATACCACAATTTCAAGTCCAATAATCTATGTCATTTTAATCAGTAAAGACAAACATGTTCGTATGCTGCCAAAGATTGAGCTGCAGAAACAGCACAAAAATCCTTAATAAGCATCTAATGAAAAAGTAAAGGGAAGCAAATATTCTCGTAAAGAAAGAAACAGAATGCAAGTAGAATGCGTTAACATAACAAGATATAAAAACAGGGCATTTGGTCTAGTGGTATGATTCTCGCTTTGGGTGCGAGAGGTCCCGAGTTCGATTCTCGGAATGCCCCTTTGACTTTTTGTAAAACAAATGTTGTAAATGGCAGCTAACATTTCATCTACCCACCTTGACTATTAAGCCCTGAAAGTCAACTGATAGAACTGGTTCTAAAACATACTTTCTTTCTTGGATTTTCTAAACAAGAGAACATTCAACATTCTAACGTCAGATTCCAATATAAATATACAAAAGATTGAAATTATTGCATGTTGCCAGTTTTTCCATAGGATCAAACAACAAAATGCTTTAATGGAACTAAATCAACAACAGGGCATTTGGTTTAGTGATATGATTCTCGCTTTGGGTGCGAGAGGCCCCAAGTTCGATTCTCGGAATGCCCCATTGACTTTTTTTTATATAACTGTGTTCTAGGGTGCATAAAACGGCTCAGAAAAGATATGTTCATTAACACATACAAGAATGCTTGTCGAACATTCAAAGCTACAACGACTAAGACTCTGCTCTATGAAAGCAGGTGGCTATGATTCCAGCAGTTAAATGTGATAACCCTTATTTCCTGTAATGAGTCACTAGGCAAAGAAGTGGACACTTTTTACCTATGTACTCTCTCTCTCCTAAGATCTCCTCTTATTCTTGACAAACACTTATCAAACACTGATCAAAATTCAAGCTGTTCCCATTTTACAATGAGACATTAAAGAACATTTCAAAGGGTGCATCAAAGACATCTTTGACTTCTGCAGAATTTGTTGATCGACTGAAAGTTTTTTTTATCCCATAAGATTCCTATCAGATGAACTACACTAGAAGATGCTAAAACAAAAAAAAAAGCATATATAAGAAAAACAACTCCTACAGAAAAATATTCAAGATTGCAAGATAGCATCAAGATTCATCAGTAAAATCTAGCTCAAAGGGTCTGACCTAACTGAAGAAATCAAGGAGCCAAGTGTTGATACTTCGGATTCAAACAGACCCTAATGCCATGTTTATAACTTGTACTGCAGATATAATGCTTGAAATGGATTACATAAACAACAGGGCATTTGGTCTAGTGGTATGATTCTCGCTTTGGGTGCGAGAGGTCCCGAGTTCGATTCTCGGAATGCCCCTCTAACTTTTTCAAGGTATGTGGACTAATGACAGCTGAGATTTTTTTTCAATATAATCCTCTAATACTTATTTTCAAAGATGACATTCAACAAATCAACCGTGTATAGTTACCTTATATTTCAATCATATTTAAACTATAGACAATCTGCCTCCACTACTAAGCTTTGAAAGTCAACTAAAAGATCTAGATCTAAAATCTAGCTTTCTTTTTAGATTATCTAAACAAGTAAATATTTTCTCATCAGATACATGAATCAGTTAGAAGAGTTTGAGCTTACACTAACCGTATGTTGCCAGCGATATCAAAAATAAAGACCTCAAGAGGAAAAGTTAGGCGGGTAAATTTCCTGTAAAAGATCGAACCGTGTATTATTTTTCCAACTAAGGATCAAACAACAATGAAATATTGAATAGAACTAAATAAACAACAGGGCATTTGGTCTAGTGGTATGATTCTCGCTTTGGGTGCGAGAGGTCCCGAGTTCGATTCTCGGAATGCCCCATTGACTTTTTCTATAGTGTATGATTTAGATGCTAGCTGAAAATGGCTTCGAATATCAATATTTTTTTAGTGTTTAGATTTTCCATAGACCTTGTTCAAGGATCGAGGACCATATATTTCCATTTCATTTTTTCAGCAAGAGAAAATCAAAAACAAAAACGTCCTCACAGTTTCATTATTAAGAGTATAATGCAATGGAAGAGAAGAGCATACCGCTGTTTCACATCCAATCAATAAACTTTTTAACTAGTACACTTCATGTTTTGTAGGAAGGACCGTCATGTTTTGTAAGCTGCAGAAACAGCAAACGAATTGTGATTGAGTATGTAATGGAAATGCAAAAGGAAGCAAGAAATCTATAAGAGAAAGAAGAAAATGCTAATAGAATGCATTAACTGAACAATTATAATAAGCAGGGCATTTGGTCTAGTGGTATGATTCTCGCTTTGGGTGCGAGAGGTCCCGAGTTCGATTCTCGGAATGCCCCACTGACTTTTTGGAGTGTATGTTATAAATGCTAGCTTAGAAATAGCCCTTCACTGCCTGAGTCGCCACAGCTCATTTTCAACAAGTATACATGCATTTTATTTTAAATTTAACTTAGGAAAATCAGAGGCAATATCTCATTCCGGCTTTGGTTAACTGCAGAAATGCAACTACTAGAATGAGAATCGTAATCCGCTTTTTGTCTCACAAGCACTAACTTACATGTGCAGCAAGATAACACTCTTTGGATAAAGTTTTGAACAGAGAACACTGCCAGATTCTCCAAGAGTTAACTGTAAAAAATAAAAAACGTACCAGCTTAATTAGTTGGTTTCCGGTCAACACAAACGAGATCATCAGATCATGTATTGAAATTTCAAGAAGAATTATGCATTGACTTACATCAACAACAGGGCATTTGGTCTAGTGGTATGATTCTCGCTTTGGGTGCGAGAGGTCCCGAGTTCGATTCTCGGAATGCCCCCATTGAATTTTTGCCTTGTTCTCACAAATTTTACATGCATTTCCCTTCGATTTTTAGCAAGGGTAAATTATAAAACAGTTTCCCATTATGACTTTTGATATAAAATGCTGAAATACAACAAGGAAAATGAGAATAGAATTGCACCTGGCTTTCACTTCGTGCAGCTGAATTCTGCCAATTTCTCCAGAGTTTTGATTCTTGGAATGCCCCATTAACTTTGTAAGCGAACTATTTAAGTTCCAGCTAGGAAATGTTTTCCATATAAGGTTGTCCTTTCCTTTCTGTTCTTCAAAGATAACAGTGGGGCACTTACCTGATATTTC